TGGAGGTGGGGTTGGGGGGGGCCCTTGGAAGACTCCACAAGCATTGATTGCCACTCTACTACGCCTCAACGGGCCAGGGGCACGATGGCGGATGATGATGAGGTTGATGATGATGATGATGATGATGATGATGATGATGTTGATGATGATGCTACTGATGGTGATGCTGATGATGCTGATGATGGTCATGCTGGTACTTATGATGATGATGCTGGTATTGATGATGCTGATGATGATGCTGATGCTGATGCTGATGCTGATGCTGATGGTGGTGGTGGTGGTGATGGAGGTGATGGTGGTGGTGGTTGTGGCGGCGACGACGACGATGCTTTATGCTGATGGTGGTGATGACGATGACGATGACGATGACGATGCTCATGATGCTGCTGCTGATGTTGCTGATCGTATTTATGATGACGCTTCATGACGATAGTGCGATGTTGTTGATGAGGATGCTGGTATCGATAATGATGCTGATAATCATGGTGATGCTGGTGGTCATGATTGTGATCATTATGATGATGGGGATGGGGATAATGATGTTGCTGAGGATAGTGGTGATGATGACGAGGATGGTGGTGGTTGTGGTGGTGGTGATGATAATGAGAGTGGGGATAGTGGTGATGTTGTCGATGATCGTGATGACGATTCTAATGATGATGATGATGACGATGCTCATGATGGTGCTGCTAGTGATGATGATCCTGATGATGCTGATGATGACATCAATCGTGATGATGCTATTGAAGCTGTGGATGGCGATGATGACGAGGGTAACGGTGATTTTGATTATGATGCTGATGCTTCTGATGATGATGCTGTTGGTGATGAATATGATGATCAAGGTGACGATGCTGATTATCACAATGATTGTCGCGACTATGATGAGTCCGGTACTGATGGTGATGGTGGAGGTGGTGGCGGTAATGGTGGTGATGATGATGATTCTGACAAGGAAGATGATGAGGTTGTTGTTGATGATGCTGATGATGATGCTGGTGATGATGCTGATGATGGTGATGATGCTGCTGATGATGATGATGATGATGATGATGATGATGATGATGATGATGATGATGATGATTATGCTGATGCTGGTGCTGATGCTGACGCAGATGGTGAGGATGCTGATGCTGATGCTGATGCTGATGCTGATGATGATGCTGGTGGTGGTGCTGCTGCTGATGATGACGACTATTATTATTGTTATTGTTATTACTCTTATCTTTCGTAAGGGCTGCACCCCTTGCCGCCGCCCCCCTCTCTCGGGGAATGGGGTATGCAAGAGCTATGTTGTGAGGCCGGGGCGCCGTCGACAAGCAGCGTCGGAATTCCGAACGGGGGCCACTTGAGATATCTAGGTGCGTATTGCGCAATCTGCGAGAGAGTATTGTGTCGGAGACGCGAATTTTGTCTAAACTACGGAGAATTATGGTCTTGGGAGCGCGAGCACAGCGTGATTTGCAAAGCTTTATGGCCTCGGGGGCGCGAATATTGTATACATTTTAGGGATTCTGGCCTCGGGGGCGCGAACACGTAATTTACGAGGGATCATGGTTTCGGAGGCGCGAATTTTCAGTATTTGTAAGTCTCCCAGGCCCCCCCCAGAAATTCTGAGAACCCCCCTATGTGAAGGTAACCAATGCCCTTTTCGGCTCACCTCCCTGGCGCGGATTTCAACAACTCACAGTAGGAAGCAGAACACACAATTGTAACATCGGAAACTGGAAACTGGAACTGGAGCAGGGAGCAGCAAGCCTTAGCCGCAGAGCCTGTTGGCCCCGCAAGGGGGCCGGCGGATCATTATTGTTCTGATGAGAGTGATTAAGATTATGATGATGCTGCCGAGGATTAGGAGGAGGGGGTGGAGGAGGAGGAGGAGGAAGAGGAGGAGGAGGAGAAGGAGGGGGACACCGATTGCTGGTACACGCAGCGCTGCGGCGACCCGGAGGATGGCTTCCGCGAGGAGAAGGCGGAGGAGGCGGAAGAAGAGGAGGATTATGATTTTCTTTCTCTTTCGGCAGCAAGTATCTGTGCCCGTGACATCGTCTCCTCTGGGACCGACCGTTGTTGCCGTGTGCCTTGAACGATGCACTTCCGGAAAACCTGCTTCGCATGTCAGGCACCTCCAACAGAAGCATGAGGAGGAGGAGGAGGAGGAGGGGGAAGAGGAGGAGGAGGAAAATGAGGAGGGGGAGGCGGAGGAGGAGGAAGAGGAGGAGGAGGAGGAGGAGGAGGAGTAGGAGGAAAAGGAGGAGCAGGAGGAGGAGGAGGAGGAGGAGGAGGAGCAGGATGAAGAGGAGGAGGAGGAGGAGGAGGAGGAGGAGGAGGAGGAGGACCAGGAGCAAGATCCGTAGCCATTTTGGCTCAAGTCCGTAGCGGTGGCTCAGAGGACTTAGAGTTTTTGTGGCAAGGGGATTTGCGGCCCCATCTTGATCTTCAGTGTTCTTCTGATACTCTTACTGGGGCTTGTCCCCACCTTTTCAACCATCACATTCGT